TTTTGTTCAAATCGCTGTAACTTTAAGCAGATTCAGCCTTTCTTGAAGCACAAATTTCATTACAAAGGCAATTTTATCTACTACTTATACTTGTCTTGTTGGCTTTTCAGCTCCTAATTGCGGTCCACCAGCATGCGCAAAGAAAAGGGGTCGACGAAAAATTCTCCATCTTTGGAATGAAATTTTTCCTAACTGTAAGAGGAGACTGAGGTGAGCTGATATCGCCGAGAAGACTGTTGCAAAGAAGCCGCACACCGAGGACGAGCCATTGAAAGAGAAGGAAGAGGAAGCACCTACCGCGACTGAGGACGAGGACAAAGATGAAGAAAAGAAGGAAGAGATTATTGAAGGACCAGCTGAGAAAGAAGAAGCTGTAGAGGGATCAACTGAGAAGGAGAAAGAGGATGAGCAGCTGCTGCTGAAAATGAGGCCGACACAACCAATGAGATGAAGGCCAGAGGTTGCCGAAAAGGTGTAAAGTGTGGAAGAAAAGCAGTCGTCTGAAGGGAGTGTCGATGAAGGCATTTTAGAGAAGAAAGACGCTGAGAAGAAGATGCTGCCATGGATGATGCTAGTCGAAGGCTGAGGAGACGGCTAACAAGAAGACCGACGTCGTAGATTCAGCCAAGCGCGAGTGCGAAGAGAGGTTGCTGAGGCTGAACTAACCTGTAATCGATACTCATCGTTCATGCTTTGTGTACAATATTATTATGCGTGAGTCATTTCCGGTTAAGATCTACTGTATCTGTGAATAAACATTGTCTTGTGGAGAAAAAACCCATTTGTGATTGTAAGGAACCAATAAGTCTATGGTTGCTGAGAAAAATGCATCAATTCATTGCGCCTTCAAGAAATGGAGAAGGGTGCAGTCGTAGTGCTCCTTATTATAAACCACGCTCTCATACGCGGAAAGACGGCAGGAGGGTTCCTTGATCGCGGATGCTGATATTATTCGTTGATTTGTTACTCTTGTTACTCTTTTCTTCTCCACCTTAATCGTAATGTGTCCAGCCAACGAATTCGATCCTTAATTACGATGCCTCTCCTCATTTTTACCCCACAATACGACACCCAGTGTCGGGCTCGGTGACCCCACGCCCTGAATATAATCTTCAAGATAAGCGAGAAGAATGAACCCACGTAAGCGGAAAGAATTTTGTTCCAAATTTTGCCAGGACGCGGCTCTTAAAGGCAGTGTCCGGGCAGATTCGGGACCCCCTAGTCTCACCAGATTACCGAAGTAGGCTCTCCATGCAGACCATAGCCCG